TGTTTGCAAATCAACTCCACAATATAAACACTTTCGACAACTAAAGCAAGTTCCTCGTTTGTACTTAAGTTTTGTATTTAGTACATCTGCCATTATATTAATACGATAATAAAAACAAAATAATATACATTATAATAATTTTGTTTATATAACGATAATGATTAAATGGGTACTACGTACAAGGTGTTTAATTGTTACATGACTAATGATATGAAAATCACAACAGATGTCAATAGTTATCTAAGTTAAAATATGTGCTGATTAAGCACCTCACACTGATAAAAAAGTTTAATTATTAAATTTCCGATTTTCTGATTTCCCATATGGGTATATATCATAAAAACCACCTGTTCACACCTTTTTGAAAACAGCTATAATAAAAAATTATAATAAAGTTGATATGTGCGGGGAAAATTATATATTGAGAAATTTATCTTATAGTTATTGTTGATATTAACAGGATATTGATATTAACGGTGTTGATATTAACGGGGGTCACATGTATATTTATGTTGATAGAGATATTAATAAAAAATTATAATAAAGTTGATATGTGCGGGGGAAATTATATATTAGAAAATTTATCTTATAGTTATTGTTGATATTAACGGGATGTTGATATTAACGGAGTTGATATTAACGGGGGTCACATATATTATATATATTAATTAACTAGAGAGGTGCAGGTTACTAGGTGTCAGGTTGCTACATTATATTTTAATTGGCTAGAGAAAAGGAGGGGGTGTCAGGTTACTATATTTCATTTTAATTGGTTGAAAAAAATTATGTTACACACTATTAGGGGTGTAGTTTAAAAAATATATACTATTTAAAAATAATAAAATCTTTAAATATTAATAACTTTTGATCTACTGATCCAATTTAGATGATTTAACTACCAAAATGATCCTCTCGATGAGACGATTCTAATGAATCCAAAATCATTCAAAGCTGATCACGTGATCCAGAGATCGTTAGAGGTTTGTGTTATATTTATTATATAGTAAATATAATATAAAACTCTAATGATCTTGGGATCATATAATCAAATTTGGATGATTTTGGATTCATTAGAATCATCTCATCGAGAGGATTATTTTGGTAGTTAAATCATCTAAATTGGATTAGTAGATCAAAAGTTATTAATATTTAAAGATTTTATTATATAATTTTTATATATAATAATAAGGAAAAAGTTAAAGGTCACACATATGATAGTATCATGGGTATATCATCTCGGTATCGATAAAGTTTAGGTTTTGTTAGTTTAGGGTTAGGGTGAGCATCTAGGTTAGGGTTAGGGTTTGGGGTATATAGTAAAATCACTCAAGGAAAACTTTTTGTTAGAGCACAGAAGATGGTTTCCTATGCAGGTTTTGAGTAATAAGCGATTTTTGTTAGTTTTTTGATAAAACGAACGTTTGTTTTAAATTTTCTGATCGTGTTATGTTATACAAGATCCTGAAATCTGATTGGTTTGGTGATGCATAAGCCGTTGTCACTTATGTGACAAATAACTTTACTCTAATAATAATTATACTATATATATATAATATATCTAACCTGACTTTGGGCCTGACCCCCACTCTCTAAAAAATCAGATGATTAATGACACCTCCCTAATATGATAGTATAATAATCAACAATTTTCACCAACCTTTGCCAATCTTTACCAACCTTCACCAATTCTTGTCAACCCAATATAATTATTTTCTTTTATATAAACAAGTTGCTATATTATGGACTAGCTTCTTATAAAATTCACAAGTGTATTGTCTATATTTTTTCTTATTGCCTGTTTCTTGTAATGTAGTATTTGTGGTATTTTTGTAACTTGCAGCTTTTGATCTTCCTTTACCAACCACTTTTCAAGGATTCACAAATGGGGTGTCTTTAATGTTAGATAAAGTATATGTTAAAGTTTCCTGTTGTTCAATCAATTCATCTTCTCTAATATGAACTCTACTCAAATAATCTTTGATTAAACTAATGAATTTATGATCACGATGTAATATATACTTATTTATAGCAGTACGTACAATATCTCAAACTTTTCTATAAAAAAGTATCTTATTAATAAACACTTTGTTTGTGATTTTATCTGACTTATTATTAACAAATAGTTGTAACCACGTAAATTAACATGTGTTGTTTTCTGATATAATATCTATATTAGTAATAGTGTTACTAAATCATTGATCTAAATATATATACTTTTTTGCGGCATTTAATTGTTGGTCTCTTGAAATCTAATATCATACAATGAGCTAGAGGTTAAAGTGTACTTTTTTAGTAATATTTAGCAAATAGAAAAAATACTAACAAACAAAACCTTTTTTTGCTATAAAAGATATATACAACTATATGAACTATTGATAAAAAAAAATATAAAATGATTAATTTTACTACTTGTAACTCTTGACAATTTTTAGATTTTTTTAACTGTATTCTGTTCCAAATGATCCAGAAGATATTTAGCAAATAAATTAATAGCATCAGGTTTATCATTCACATCTTTACTTTGTAAAGGCTTATAAATGGTAAGTGACTCAACCTCTTCAATCGTAGAATAACTAGCTATATAATACAAACTTTTTTCATTTGCTCTATCAAAAAATTAGAAACATTTGATCTCAAGTATCATTTTACTAAAGATTTAATAGCAAGAAAAACTGTGACAATACTTGCTATAAAAAGAATACTGCATTTCTATTTTTCATATTGTTTTCGCTTTTGTTCTTTATTGTTTTATTCTATTAATATTTTATTCAAATCATACAATAATGTATTGCCACTTTCCAAGATCCTTTTAATGCATACATTCTGACTTTCAATAAATGACGTAGATTGAATTCCAAGTGTAAATTCCATTGTAGTGAATGCACATGCCCATAAAAATCTATGCTCATAAAGATAATGTTCAAAGTATAACTTTGCATTAAGAAAACTTACAAGTTGCACCCAATAGTACTCAAAGCTATATACTGTATTTGCATTCCTGCATTGCCAAAATCTACTGTAAAACTCATTAAACGAATCTTCCAATTTACTACACAACATCTTTTTTATATTTTATTTAATATACTAAATACAAAAAAGATATTTTATTTCTGGATACTCTAAAAATACTGCCTATTCCATTGCTGGATCTCCATCAGTTACAAAAACACAGAACATCTATCATTGGTCACTTTCTTTGTTATTTGAAGAACCTATTGATATGTTTTAGTTATCCCATTATAGATAAAAGCTTGAGCGATAATGCAGGATTGCATATTATTATCCTGGACTACAAATAATAAAAGAAACATATTATACCTATTAGTACCTGCTATGTTATCATACCTAATTGATTCACCAAATTTATGCTATAACAAAATTTGTTCTGAATTTATCCAGAACAAATTTGTTAATATATTAGTTTCACTTTCTCACATAATCTCAATAAACCAGAAAGAATTCTCTCATTATTTTAATAATAATTAATCATAAAAATTTGCTATATCACTTTTTATTATATTGCTTGATGGTAGATATTATTGCATTTCGATATAAAGATTATTAGAAAATATAAGATGAGTAGAAAACTTCTCTCTTAATATATGAGTAAGCAGCATTATATATATAATGCTGCCTACTTACATTAGGTTGCTACCTACTTATGAGTATATATTGTTACCTACTTATGGGTATATTGTTATTTACTTGTTTTATAGCTACTCATTTTGACCTCTATTAAGCTTATGTCGTTATTCGAGTGACGAACAGTTCGCGCTTGGTCATTAGATATATTAGTATTCACTTCATCATTTGAGTGATGAACGATTCACGCTTGCGTCATCATTCAAGTGATGTATATTTTGCATTTGCCTCATCAAAGATGAGATGTTTATAGTCTGCTTGTTAGCAGTTGTTAGCTTCGTATAATTCATTCGATTATTGTCTGATGATGAAGCATGTAGTGCTGAATTGTAAGCAATTGTTAGCAGTTATTTGGTAGACATCCAAAGCATAATTTTTATAATATATATATCTTTCTATAATAATTTTACTTTGGGTGACTACTGGCAGTATACTATATTTTACAATCCTAGAAATCTTTCTTGCATAGTTAATACTTTCAAATACTATTACTTCATGTTAAAAATACTTTGGGATTTTATATATATTTGGTAGACATCCAAAGCATAATTTTATAATATATATTTGGTAGACACCCAAAACATAATTTTATAATATATATTTGGTAAACACCCAAAGCATAATTTTACCTTGATCAAAAATACGCAATCCAAAAATAGTTATTGGATAAATTACCTTATATTATATCAAAAGTACTTATGTGAAATTATACGACACAAAAATCCCTTTATATGATCCAGGTATCGGAATATTAATTTTTTATTTGAATTTTTTCTTATATTAATTGTAGAGATGACAAAAAACCCCCTATCTGAAATGAATAACTAGCCGGATATAGCAATTACTATTTAGCTAGGTTATATATATTCGATAAGAGCTAAAGATCAATTTTTTAATACTTTTTTTGTATGGAGTAGTAGAGACCTTTATTTTAGCTTCGAAGTTGTGTTTATATTTCAAGAAAGTGACTTCATTCATGCTCTCGTGCTCTTTTTCCAGTAATTTTGGATATCTCGCAACTCAAAGGTAATCTTGGTTCGCTATTATTCCAATTTTTCTTTTGATATTTGGAATTTTTGTTGTAAAAGAAGGATAAGAGTACTTATATCAGATTCATTTTTGATAAGATATTCTGAAGATAAAGAAATTAAGGATTCAGGTAACTCTTTTTTAGCTTCAGTAATGCTTGAGAATTGTTTAGAATTATTTGATTGATTTTGAATTAATACCAAAGAAGGTAATTGTGGTGATTTTGTTACAGATTTCTCAACCATATTATTACAAGAACTATCTTTACAAACCTTATTACTGGATTTTGAAATGGTAATATCAGTGGTGATGGGTATTGAATCAAAAAGTTTATGAGTTTCATCAATCGATTCTGGCTTGTATGGTAGAAGAATTGGAATTATAGGATGATAATTAGGATCATTCAACTTTATAGCCTTTATTCTTTCTTGAGTCTCAAAACCAGCTCCATTATCTGGTATACGATAAATCTAATATGATTTTTTACATACTTGATGCCTCCTTGAACCTACATGGGTTTCTCTACTCTTGACAGTATAACCACACCAATTACTTAGTATTGCATTAATAAATTTTATTGTGCTATTAAGATCTGGCATTCCTTTAGCTTTGGTCTTAAAACCAAAGAGCAATAATGCATCTTCTCGAATTTTAACAATTTTTTCCTGTGATTGTTTGAAAGCTTTTGCCACATCATCACCAGAAAGAATATTTGTATCATCTATATCACTGAATCCTACCGATTGTAAAAGATCGTGCACTGCTCTCTATTGTTTTGCTGAATAAAATTTATGTAAATCAACTGATGATAGATCCACAGATTCGTGTGAATCATCCCATTGCATTTCTTCTTTGATTTTTAGATTTTCTATAGAATTTATTGCATTAGAACCTTGTCTTCTGAAATATGCCAGCCTTCTAAAATATTGTAAAGGTTCAGGATTATTATATCTTTTTACGAATTTTTTATCACAAAGTTTGATCCAATCATCATTATTCATACCCTAGTTTCGAATATTATCCTTATCTCCAATATCACCTGAAGTATATGTTCTCCATAAATAATATCATTGCAGGGTCATGTTATCAGCAAAAGAACGTTCAGGATTTAGCTTAAGCATTTCAGCTTCATTAGGATTAATATCTGGAGCATTGACTATTAATTCTGCATCAGAACTTTTGATCTTTTCTTCAGTATTCTTAATAGTATGAAATACTTCTGTACGAGAAGCTTTGGCTAATTTGGTATCTTCTACTGCGATTAATTCTAGCGATGCTCCAGTACTAGCAATCAAACTACAAAGAATTTCTGGAAAATATTTGGCAGATAAGCGTCTCTAATATTCAACCTCAATATAGGTTTCTACTGCCGGAAATGAATCGAGTATATAACAGTTAGCAATTTTGTTCTATTCACGGTGCTCCTTTATTGCAGTTAGTAAATCTCCAGGTCTTAAGGCCAAAAGTTCTGCACGAATAAGATCACGATTTGGTTCTTTAAAAATCTCGGAATGTGTTTTACTATTGTAAAGAGAAACAATACGATATGGGCAATCACGAGTTCGATAAAGCATCTGAGTAAATGCTTCAGCATGTACTTCTGTATTAATATTACTAATTGCTATAACTGCATCAAAATAGTTAGGAATTTCGAACGAGATGTCTGACTCCACAGTACTTGTATAGATTACACAATCAAGACCACTCCAGGTAGCATTAATATTAGCAAAGTCATCCTGGCGTTGTTTTCTATCCATTTGACTAAAATAAACTCGTGATAAAACATATGAACCGTCCGGTTTTTGCAACTTAGATGCTTGATTAGCTATTGCCTGAGCCTTTTTGCAGGAGGTCATTGAAAAGACAACACGCTTACCTTCTTTAAGCATCTCAAGACCTTTATATATAGCTTCTAAACCTTTATTTGAATCATAAAAGATTTTTATAGTTCTACTTTTACGTGGCTGATACTTATTATCAAAAACTCGGATGTTTTCACTCCGGTATTGTCTTAAGAAGGCTAAAATCGACATATTTGCAAAAGCATCCATGGCAACCACATGAATAGCTAACTTTAACAAATCCTGCATAGTATTTTCAGATTCTCGTACATGGATTCTACTTGCCATTTAACGCATAATACTATTTGTTTCATCTAAAATAACTACATGAGAACGACCTCATGGAAATTAAGACGATGTGTACTTTCGACCTGAACAATAATAACATTCCAGTCACGTATAGCTAAATTACCTTCATTTTCTCGATAATGGTATACACGAAGCCCAGATTTCTGTAATACTTCGATTTTATTTTTAGTTTCATTACTAAGAGTTTTACGATATGAAACCCAGTTAAAACAAGGTAAATTTGCTTCACTTTTAGCTAAAGAATTAAAAATCTCTCTTAAGGTTTTTGTTTTTCCACTGGCAACAAGTGAGCAAATTAGGGTTGTAGTAGATTCCTTACTCATGAAATCTGGATAAGCTTCTGAAGCATTCTCTATTTACTTAATATTAATATTATTTTTAGATAATTCTATGAGTGGGCGTGGATGTTTTATAGCCTTGGACAATCTTTCAATTAATCCCCACTTCTTGAGTTTCACTTCTGATTCGACTTTATCTGATACCTTATCGAAGCTAAGGCCCTTATGTTCTGGCTTATATTGTTTTTGACGATAACACTTAAGTATGAAATGCCCATTTTGACGAATAAATCTATATAGTTGGTCTTTTTCATGTTTAACGTCACATATAGGACATTCTTTAATGGATTGTGCTTGAAAGTTTATAAATTCCTTCTCGATTCTTCTAATCTGGAGCCACCCATATTTTGCAATAACTAAATTAGCTCTTTTAACCAAAGCATTATCATCCTCAATGAGTTTAAATTCCTCTTTTGCTGGCTTTTCTTCTGAAAAAGTTCGAGGCCAGATTTCAGAACAATCAGATTTAGGTTGAACTAAATAATTCTCTAGCTCTCGATACCTTTTCTTAACTGAAAAAACTGCAGGTTGTTTAACTCTGTCTTCTTTTGCCGATCCAAGGAGCCAAAGACTAAAACGAAATTTATAGAGACCAATATCAATAAACTCTGAATATGGCTTTCCAACCCTATCAGCGACTTTTTCTACAAATCCTCTAAGGTCTTTGTAGTCAACAAAACGTGCATAATTATATACAATATGCTAACTGCAC